TGGTGATGATTTCTTTTCTTTTTCGCGTTCATTGTAGTATTTCCCAATATTTCTGTCGATGCTCGATGGGCACAGAATGGAGTGACCGTTGCTGGAGGCCGTGGAAGTGGCAGAGCCTTCGATCAACTCAACCTACCGAGAGGTCTGTTCATTGATGATAATCAAACGATTATCATCGCTGACACCGGCAATCATCGTATCATCCAATGGAAGATGGATGATACGAAAGGACAAGTCGTAGCTGGTGACCGTGGCCAAGGAAATCGATTCGATCAATTGTATTCGCCAACCGATGTGTTGATCGACAAAGAGACTGATAGTCTCATTATCTGTGATCGAGGGAATCGACGAGTCCTACGATGGTCTCGTGCCAGTGACACATTTGGAATAATCCTCATCCACAACATCTCTTGTTATGGATTGTTCATGAATGATCAGAGATATCTCTACATCTCTGAAGACGACAAATACGAAGTAAGACGATATAAAATAGGAGACAAGAATGGAACTATCGTGGCTGGTGGTAATGGACCGGGTACTGGCGTTAATCAATTAAAATGGCCGACTTACATCTTTGTCGATCAACAACAGTCTGTCTACGTGTCAGACAGTGACAATCATCGTGTTATGAAATGGAATAAAGGTGCAACAGAAGGAATTGTCGTCGCTGGGGGTCAAGGTCACGGGAAAGCTCTGACACAATTGTGGAATCCTAATGGACTATTCGTCGATAAGTTTGGTACCCTCTATGTGACAGATTCAGAGAATAATCGAGTGATGCGCTGGCCTGAAGAAGCGAAACAAGGCACTGTTATTGTGGGTGGAAATGGTTGGGGACGAGGAGCAAATCAATTCGCCAATCCCATCGATATGTCCTTCGATCGACAAGACAATCTTTATGTCGTCGATCGGGGAAATGATCGTGTTCAACGCTTTTCAATCGAATGAACTCATTACGATCAATTACGTTTTTTCTTTCCTTTCTTTCGAATGAGTTCACGTTGAATGAACGAAAGGAATTCTTATTCTATTTGTTAGCTCGTTTTACGAGCTTTACGTTTATTTAATCTATATATCTGTTGTCCTTGATCACACGTACATGTATATATATATGATATAGGAGAGAAAAGGAGATAACAATAACAATAAGAGAGAAGAAGAAGAGAAAAGAATAGGTAGAACGACATGAAGGGGATGATGGTGGTGAATCACCGCTAACAATCCTCCTCTCCTATGTTAGATGTGTGTCCTAACACATTGATATTGAGTTCATAAATTTGTTTGATGAATTCATCATCGTTGAGTCGAGTGAGGTTTGCGTAAATGATACATTTTTTATGATTGATGTTCTTCGTCGCCTTTAAATGTTCAGGATTTTATTTAGATCAATAAACCATCTGACATAATTATAACATTATTAGAATTTGCAACATCATCAGCGTAAATGATAGTATTTATATACAAATGGGTTTAAAAAAATTAGTTTTATGCATATTGATTTAACCTCCACAATTTATGATAATATTGAATAACCAAATGACATGTTTCAACAAATGATCAATGAAATTGCCCATATGACTATGATATTCCGAAATCGATAATTACAATAATTACAAACACTCAAGCTACTACAATGGTTTATTATCGTTNAAAAAAATTTTTAACTGATGATGTTATTAGAGATTTATATACAAATGAATCATTAGAATTATTAAATGATGAATGGAAACAATTAAATGAAGATAGATTTAATTTAAGACAAATATATCCAACTGGTGATACATCAAAAATTGTTTTACCTTGTAATTTAGAAAGATTAATTTATAATGCTAAAAAAAAATTTTCTATTTCAAATCAAACACAATCAAATTTATCACCAAGTCAAGTTATACAAATTTTACAAAAATTAACACAACGTCTTATTATTGTTAAAGGGGATGATAGATTATCTAAAGAAGCACAATATAATGCAACTATGTTAATGAATATCTTATTACGTTCATCATTATCATCACGTCAAGTTCTTGAAATTCATCATTTAACAAATGAAGCATTTAATTGGCTTTGTAGTGAAATTGAAACACGTTTTCAACAAGCACAAGTTCAACCAGGTGAAATGGTTGGTGCTTTAGCTGCACAATCACTTGGAGAACCAATAACACAAATGACATTAAATACATTTCATTATGCTGCTATATCAGGTAAAAATCAAACACTTGGTATTCCACGTATTAAAGAAATAATAAATCTATCAAAAAAACCTAAAACACCATCATTAACTGTTTATTTAACTGGACAAGCAACAAATAATGTTGAACAATGTAAACAAGTATTATGTCATCTTGAACATTGTACATTAAGAAAAGTAACAACTAATACAGCTATTTATTATGATCCTGATCCACAAAATACAGTTATTAGTGAAGATCAAGAATGGGTTAATACATATTATGAAATACCTGATCAAAATATAACAAATCTTTCACGATGGTTATTAAGAATTGAATTAGATAGAAAATCTATGATTGATAGAGAATCAACTATGGAAAAAATTTCTGAAAAAATTTATCAAGATTTTGGTAATTGTCTTAATGTTATATTTAATGATGATAATGCTGAAAAACTTGTTTTAAGAATACGTACTACGGATCAAATTAATTTATCAATAGAAGAAGAAGAAGAACAAAATGATATAAGACATATTGATGATAGTACTTTTCTTGAATATTTACAATCATCAATGCTTTCTAATTTAACTTTACAAGGGATTGAAGGTATATCAAAAGTTTATATGATTCGTTCAATATTTGATGATACATTAAAGAAAATTCAAATTAATCATAATGGAGAAATTGAAAAAATTTCTGAATGGATATTAAAAACTGATGGAACAGCTTTAAAAAAAGTTTTATCAACGAAAAATGTTGATTCACATCGAACATATACAAATGATGTTGTAGAAATATTTGATGTTCTTGGAATTGAAGCTGTACGAAAAGCAATTGAACGTGAAATGAATTATGTTATTTCATTTGATGGTACTTATATTAATTATAGACATTTAGCTTTATTATGTGATGTTATGACAACTAAAGAGCATTTAATGCCCTTAAAAAGACGTACAATTAATAAACAAGATATTGGACCTATAATGAGATGTTCATTTGAAAAAACTGTTGATGCTTTAATCGAAGCTGCTGCTCATTCAGAATATGATTCATTAAAAGGTGTTTATGAAAAGATTTTACTCGGACAATTAGCTAAGATAGGTACTGGATCATTTGATTTATTATTAGATGTTAAAAAACATTCATCATCCGTGAAATTACGAGAGAATAATGACGAGAAGGCTTCTTCATCTTCACCTATAATATCTACATATTCAATACCATCTAGTCCATCGTATTGCTCAACAACAACATTAGCTCATGTAGCATAAATAAATTATGAAAGTATTTCAATACATAATATTTTATTAATATCATATACAAACAAGAAATCGTATTATAACAATTCATCTTTGTTACTTACTTTTTGAGTGAAACGACTGTGAAATTCTCTTTTCTGTATATTAATCATTCATATTCTTTATACTTCTCTATGATTTTTCAAACTACGATATTAATTTCTTCTTCTCTTGTCTATTTATATGTAGTCTGGAACTATATTTTTAGTTTTTCTTTCATTTTATATTTATTAGTTTACCATTCTGTCGTGCATCTAAGAAGAATAATGAAATGTAACTCATTCTACTTCATGTATATATAGAGATTACCATTGTACAGGAAGGAGCCCTGTAGTTTCAACAACAAGTTTTATATGAAATTTAAATCGTCTCAATAATGGGACTTATCCGTACTAAATACTAAGATTTATGTTCAGTGTTGAATAGAGAAAATTTCTAGAATTTGACATCATATCGATGTAGAAAAATTTCTTTCCTGAGGACGTTCAAACTAAATCTGATCTAAAATGATGAATATAATCAATAGTAAGTATAACGACCATTAGTATTCTTTATAGAATAAAGACGAGGCAGAAATGAACATAAAAGAATGTCAAATAACTTTATATTTGTTTCTATGTTTGATGAAATATATGAAAGTAGATCTTCTGACACTGTATCGTAGATACGAATGCAAATACGTCGTAGTAAAAGCAGTCTAGTTCTTTAATTTCAACTGCGACATATTTGTGAAAGAAATGGTGATATGAATAGTGTTGATAACTATTCAGAGATCATATTTAGAATAGAGAAATTTTTAGACTTATATTGGTTTACTCTTCAAGCCATGAAAAGGATGATCATTGAAAAAACTTGAAATTGATTGCAATGGTTTTTCAAAATATTCTTAAAATATCTTTATGAATCATTTTAAAATCTCGAAAATAAAATTAAACTAAGTTTTGACTAGCTCAATCAAATATGTTTATTCATGTATTAAAATTACTTTTGATATTCAATTATTCATAGAAAGTATGGTAGGACTGAATCTGAATAATTGATTTCAAATTTAAAAATTTGACATTAATTTACTTACTAATCTATTTTAAATTACATATATAGTTATTTATTTTAAGTAAAAAATGAATTGATAAAGAACAAATGTTTATTATTAACAGATTGATTTTGTATTTATGAAGTTTACAAATCAATATTTTTTTCCGTGTGAATTATTTTCATTCTCAGATAAAATACCACCTTTGAATAAAAGCCATAAACCAAATCCCAATTCACCAATTATCATAGGTAAACTAATAAATAATTCAATTGTTGGTTTATATTTTTCGTAATTATGTAATAGTAAATTAGCGGAATGATTGATTGAATAACATAAAGAAGCAATGATTAATAAAATACCAAATATTTTTGGAATATAATCAGATTTGAGAACTAAATAACCAAGCATGTACAAATGACATCCAAAAATAATTAATCCAATTGACCAAATATTATGAAATGCATTTAAAAAAAAAGTTACCAAAGCATTTATTTGACTTATTTCAAAAACAGACAAGTAATTTTCACCATTCAATAATAACACAATAAAAATGAAATTTAATAAGGCAGTTCCCAAAATTACTGAATAGACAAGTCGAAACCAAGCAGTAAGCAAAGAAAAATGTTCGTTTACTTGTTTGAGAAAAACATGAAGTCCCCAAGCCGCTAATATATCACAAATAAGGATAATCAAAAAACTATAAATGCTAAGACGGAATAGCATCATAGAAGATTTAATATTATTTGCTGTTAACGTTGGATTCTCAGGTACAATTAAACCTTGAAGAACAAAACCATAGGCAAACCCTGCAAGAATTGCCATTATTAAAATTGACCATCCTGCGACTAATGCAGCTTGACGTTGTGAAATATTGAACATGGTGCTTTTTATTTTCAAATATAATTAATATAAATATTTTCTAAAACAAAAACAAATACTATTTTTTTTTTAAATTATTATTTTCAAATATTTAAATAGAAAATTTTGTTCAATATTGAATGATCTATATTTTCATTTTGCGGGCTCTTCTCATTAAAATCAAATTTTGAAGATGAAGATATTAACTTCAGAAAAAAAATCGTCTTTTATAAACTAATAGAACGTGATATATTCTATCGATCCATATACTTTTTTTTTCCATTTTAAAAACAAATCTCTTCGTTAAAAAATACAAAATACTGGAAGGTATGTAAATTTATATTGACACATAAAGATTTGTTTCTTATGATATGAAAAACAAATACGAAAAAACTAATTTCACAAAAACTTTTGTCCCTAACTGTATATAAATGTACATGTCTACATACCAACATAAACATATATTTTTTCTTTCTTGTTGAAATATACATGCATATGGAAAATAAGAAACCTAGTTGGAAGTTTTTTTCTTTTTCTTTTTATCTAACTAAGACTCACGTGCATCAATGACTGTCGTTTTTTTTCTTTCCTTCGCATACTTATGCAAACGTAACCTTTACAGAGTAAATATTGTCATAAGCTGTTTTATTGTCTTCTTGCGTACCGTCAAGACTATTTTTTATTTCGTGCATTTCTTTGTTACTGGAGCATATATGGAGGTTCCATTTAACACAGAATTCCCGTATTTTTTGTTTTTAGGTAAAAACTAGAGATTCTTGATATGGTTGTAACGCTCTATCCAATGACATATACAAAAGATAAAAATAAAATGGTGTAGAAACTTTGAAGTCGGAAAACATTAATCAATATGACTTGATGCAATCTGTTTTTATCGAATAAAATCAACATAACATTATTCTGTTGTATCTATAGATGAAGAAAATTGGATATAAAGTGAAACATTAGTTAACAAATGTTCGATTTAGACTAATCTACATATATTTCAGACTAGATACTGACGAGATCAAGAGTTTTTGATTCATTTCAGATCTTTGCTTATTAAAAATGTATCAATTTATATAGATTTTGTTTTTATTAATATAATAAAAACTAAACAAATGTAAGTTCTGCATTTCAGTTAGAAACGAGCTGTACTAAAAAGCTTTTTCTATCAATTCAAAATTCAATTCGTAGTAGTGTTTTCCACAATTTACTTTGCTTCTCTTTATTCAATAATAAGGTATTTGAAAATTAGACTCATAATAATCGATTAATACACAAAAATCACTTTCATTGTTAAATCTCTCACAAAACAGTTACACAATTTGTTCGTCGCTAAAATCCATTCTTTTGAGTTGTGGTTCATCAAAGTACCATGGTGGAAATTCTAAGTCTTGGTCGCTTACATCTTTAAGTTTCTTTTTTCAATAAAATTGGCCGATTGTTCTTGAGATTTTCTATTTTACTCATTCGGTCAAAATCGATCTGACAATATATTGATCGTTGTCGTTGAATGGAATCAAAAAGAAAACGAAGAAATATTCGAAAATCTAACTTTACATCTTATTATCTCAACCATAAAATTTTTTGATTTGGATACATTTGTAGTAATATTCCTTCTTACGAAGGTTTTCAATAATAAAAAAAATGCATCATCTAAATGATCATGTACGAACTTGTCATTGAAAGCTAAATAAATATGNGACTTGATGCAATCTGTTTTTATCGAATAAAATCAACATAACATTATTCTGTTGTATCTATAGATGAAGAAAATTGGATATAAAGTGAAACATTAGTTAACAAATGTTCGATTTAGACCAATCTACACATATTTCAGACTAGATACTGACGAGATCAACAGTTTTTGATTCATTTCAGATCTTTGCTTATTAAAAATGTATCAATTTATATAGATTTGTTTTTATTAATATAATAAAAACTAAACAAATGTGAGTTCTACATTTCAGTTAGAAACGAGCTGTACTAAAAAGCTTTTTCTATCAATTTAAAATTCAATTCGTAGTAGTGTTTTCCACAATTCACTTTGCTTCTCTTTATTCAATAATAAAATATTTAAAAATCAGACTCATAATAATTGATTAATACACAAAAATCACTTTCATTGTTAAATCTCTCACAAAATAGTTACACAATTTGTTCATCGCTAAAATCCATTCTTTTGAGTTGTGGTTCATCAAAATGCCATGGTGAAAATTCTAAGTCTTGGTCGCTTACATCTTTAAGTTTTTTTCAATAAAATTGGTCGATTGGTCTTGAGATTTTCTATTTTACTCATTCGGTCAAAATCTATATGACAATATATTGATCGTTGTCGTTGAATGGAATCAATAAGAAAACGAAGAAATATTCGAAAATCTAACTTTACATCTTATTATCTCAGCCATAAAATTTTTTGATTTGGATACATTTGTGGTAATATTCCTTCTTACGAAGGTTTTCAATAAAAAAAATACATCATCTAAATGATCATGTACGAACTTGTCATTGAAAGCTAAATAAATATGTCAAAAAAAGATGATGGGTAAGTAAAAATTAAAACATATTCAATGTTCGACTGGTAATGATCAATCAAAATTTCATTTTTTTGTATAAATAGAACTTTTTAAAATCTCGTTCGAATATTCACCACACTTAATCTTGATCAGGAGTCGATTGTGAACGTGACTTATTCAAATGTGAAATGAAATAAGTATAAAGAAAACATTCATCGATGGAGTATAAAGTAAATTCTAGGAATAACAGACAATTTATATGTTGCATAAAACTTGTTCGATCATACTACGCTTTTTGTTACTCGTTGTGAGATTAAATAAATACTTAAGTAGATACCTAATCAGAATATTGTATGTGCCGAATAAACCGGATCAGTAAACCAATGAATCCAGTATTGATTTTTAAAATATTTTCTTTGAAAAAAAAATGATCATACAATTATCGAAGATCAATTTGATAAAAGTAATATCATCAAACTATGTTATTAAGCCAACATTTTTCATCAAATCTTTTTATATTTATCAAGTTCATGTACTTGTACGGTTGTTTTAGTCACAGAGAATCGAATAATTGTTTAACATTCTACGTTATCATATATTTATTTGTATTTTCATGGCATCATCAATCCTTTGAAAGCATAATTTGAACGTCTATTCTTCTCTCAATAGCAATCTTAAATAAAGAGAGCTATTTTGTTTAATTTTCAAACGAGTATCATTTTATTTATTGAAAACAATAAAATAAAATAGATCGATCATCATTTGTGTTTGGTCTGGATGTGTGCCAAATCAATTATAATATTGAAGATTCAAAATTACTCTTAGAGGTATTTTAGAACGTTGTTCTTGCTAAAGATACAGAATATTCACAAAAACCCATAAAATCAATCAAAAGTACAGTGAAACTATTTCGAAAATAATAAGTTCTACAAATGATAAAAATTTTTATCGGATAATCTTGTTTAAAAGATTTTAACTATGGAGTTACTATGGTGTAAGATACATAATCTTCACCTTCAGATAAGAGTCAATACAAAATGAAAACATGACAGGTGATATTGAATGATTAATGAATAGATACATTAGTTATATCATGAAACAACAAAGTGGTAATCTTTATTCACATGTTGATTTTTTTCCTATGACATCATTTTTTCTTTGTCAATAAATGTAAGATTTTAAGTGTTATATATGTTTACGAATTCATTTGAAAATAAGTAAGTCTTCTACAAACTTTTTATATGTTACATCCAAAACTTTACGAAACTCGTGGTGCACATTATAATCATGAAAGTCAAACGACTAGTTTTTGTTTTGTATGCACCTAATGCAAGAAATGTTTGGCTTGTATTAACAACCTATGGTATACAACAATATCGATTAGAAATGAACAAAAATCATGAGGGTCTATGGGATATTGTAACAGATAAAGCTCCATCTGGTCGAACTTATCTCTACTTAATTAATGATTATCATGGAAGATATATGTTACGAACAGATCCAGTAAATTTTTCTATTGTTTCTAATTTAATAACTCGACGTGTTCAATCAGTTGTTCACGATGAAACAGTTTATAAATGGAATGATCAAAATTCGATGAGACAACGTGCTCAAACTAATCCTATGAAATCACCATTATCTATTTATGAAATTCAACTAAAATCATGGAAAAGTAGTGTCTATTGGCCATTGAACTTTCGTCAAATAGCAAGTGAATTAGTGACTTATTGTAATCAAATGAGTTTTACTCATGTAAAAATGTATGGTGTATTAGAACACACCGACAGATGAGAATATGGCTATCAAGTAGCAAATTATTTTTCTCCTTCTCGTTTTAACGATAGATGTGATGATTTAAAATATTTGATTGATCATCTACATCAAAATAGTATTGGTGTCATTCTTGATTGGATTCCAACACATTTTAAACATTATCATTTTTTTCATCAATATTCTATGTCTTTACATGAACATGATGGTACAAATTTATATGCTAGTACTGAATCACAATGGGGAACACTATATTTTGATTTTGATTAAGAAGAAACACGTCGAATTCTATTTGCTAGTGCTCTTTACTATCTTGATCGATTTCATTTTGATGGAATTCGTTTTGATGCTGTTAGTTAAATGATTCGACGAAACTAAACAGATATTCAAAGTGCTATTTCATTTCTACATCAATTCAATCATACTATTCATACATATTACCTGAGTGTTCTGTGTATTGCAGAAGAGACAGAAGGTTATCCTAATCTTAGTAGAACGATGAATTTTGATTTGAAATGGAATATTGGTTGGAGTAGTGATGCACGAAATTTTCATCGAACACCATATGTTGAACGATCACAACATAGGAAACAAAAAAGATTAGATGTTTTAACTTGTGCACGATGAAGTGATGATAAAATGATTTGTACATTGAGTCATAATGATATAAATGATGATCCATTTAGTAATAAAAATATTCTATTGAATTGTGTGTCACATGCTCAAAATGATATGGATAAATTTGCTGATCTAAGTAATTTATTTGCATGGCAACTTTAAATTCGTTATCCACAATTTTGGGAATATGGAGAAGAAGGCTATTCTTTAATCTATGAATATAGTGAAAATCTAGTGATTGCATATCATCGAGGTATTTTTGATAATCGTCAAATCGCTGTTATCCATAACTTTTCGAATCTTGGTTACACATACTATGATATTCCATTACCAGAATCGGATCCTAATGTTGGACGTATTCGAAACGCATTAGAAATATTCAATATAGATGATCTAAAATATGGTGGATAAGGTACATTTCAAAATCAATGGATTGAAATTAAACGTAATAATGGACAAGATATAATATTCACAATTGCTCTTTCTCCTCTGTCGACAATAATAATTATTAGAAGAAAATTTAGTATAATTAATTAAGAAAGTTACTATATAGATCTTGTATATATTTTTCGTTTATGTGAATAATTTTATGTAATTCATCAAATAAAGATGATTATAACTTGTAATAAGCGAAATAGAACTCCAACTAAATAGTCTCAATATATACCTTTTTATCAGACGAGTGGGTATGGGAGTTGGTCNAGAAATATATCGAAATGTTCAATGGTTTAATTCGATTCAGAAAAGAGAAAAATACGACAAATGTTTTGAAAGAATTCAATAAATATTTGAATAATATAAACGATTATTCTGCCTTTATCGAGAAAAAGATACATGCAAATATTTTCATAAAAGTAGAATAATGTCTCTTGTATTTTGAAGATATTCGTTTAGCAATCGAGAAGTTATTATTATCATCTCAAAACGAAAGATTAAGAATATTATTGGAAACTATAGTTTAATATTTTCTCTGGATAATCACATAGAAAATCTACATAATATGTCTTACATTTTTTTTTTCGAAAAGTTTCAGAAAAAATAGAGAAAACAAAAATAAAAGATATTGAAAAACTACAATGTCTAAAAACTACTCAAACAGTTGCTTTATTACATTTTATTCATAGTCAAGAAGAAAAAAAACTTCTTCAACAAACTGGATCAGATGAAGAAAAAACTCTTATTTCAAGATTAACAGCTGCATTTCTGCCATTATATAGATATGCCGTTGATATTGTTTCTAGTAAACGAGATTTAGTTATACATGGAGAAGGAAAATGTCGTTCATTTTTCCAATTATTTAAACTTGAGAGTGGTGATGATGATGTTAATTATCAATTGTATAGATCAGAATTGAATGCATCTCAAGGTGATCTCATTTATGAACAAATCAGATTATTTGCATAGTGATATTGATTATAAAATAAAATAATCGGTAGATAGTGTATATCAAGCATAGATCATGCACGAAGATAATTATTTTGTTTTAGATATATCTAAAAGAGATGAAAAAACACTAAAAAAACAAAGAGTCATAATCGTAGTTGATAAAGATACTGCAACTGAGCAATATTCTGCACGATGGAATAATGGTTTACCTTAGTTTTTAGAATGGTAATATTGGCGAAAATCATCTGTTGAACGTTTAAAAGTTGTTTTCAAAAATATAAACATCATCTTTATGGATTAACCAATACATTAGAATCAAAAAATTCTTAAAGTTTTTTATATGATTAGTATAATGTTCAATTTGCACATCTGCCTACTTCAAGAGTAAATTCACAAATCAATAGAAAAAGAGAAAATACATGTTATTTTAAGTTATTTACTCGACAATATACGAATTGAAGAGCAACAAGAAATAGAGTATTATGTATCGGACAATTTATTTTAAAAATCGATAAATTGATATTATGACAATCAGGGACAAAAGAATTAAGAATTATTATCAAATTTAATTATCGAAAGAGAGAAAATAAACCGAGATAATAATGAAGCAGCTAGACTATCGAAATTACAACAAAATACTATATACTTTGACTCAATGTTCAAGACAAACATTCCTAAAGAAATATTTGAACCGTTATGTCTTGAATATATTTTAAAAGATCGTTGAGCATTTTGGTTAGAAGAAGTTAAAGATGAAAAATGTGTTACTATTGAATGAATATGATTCTTCGTTTATTAAAAAGATTCCTAAACTCATAGAAAACTCGAATTTCAATGATTTATTAGAAAAAATTATTAAAAAACCCGACGAAGCTATTCGAATAGTGAAATTTTGTCTTTCAGAATATAAAATCTCAATGACCAAATGATGCTTTGACAAAAGATGTTCAGAATTTTCATATGTAGGTTTTGCTCATTTTTTTATCATTTAATTAAATGATGTAAAAAAAAAATATTAAAAATGAAGTACGACAACAATTTAAGAAAGTGATATGTTCTTTAGAATCAATAAAAATAAATTTAATGCCTAATCTTAAAATTGGAGAGATTCTTTCTCAATCAGCTATTTCACAAAAAAATATTTTCGAAAGATAATTTTTAATGAAGATCAAATTAAAAAGAAAATTAGGAGTTATTGGATTATATTTACATTATTTGAAAAAAAGCCGTTAGAAAAACCGTAGAGCTTTTTGATTTTATCCTCCGCAAAAATTATGATACCAAAAAATTGAGCAACAAGAGAAAATATATAATTCTCTAGTTAAAGATGAACTCACGTCGAGAAGATACAATAAGAAATTAATGAATTAAATTTAAATTCTTTAAAATTCGAAGGTAAATATGAAAAATATTCAAAAACTAAATTTAATTATAATAGTAGCCATGAAAAAAAATCTTGAAAATTTCTTAAATTTATGAAGTAGAATCTAATCTTCTTTCATTTATTATGTTATTTCTTAGATAGATTAGTTTTAGTTAAATAAAGACTAATTAATTTTTATCTTTATTTATATAAGGAAAAAATCTGAAAATTTCAGAATACAGCTTTGTCTATGACGATATTATTGGAAAAAGTTATCAGAAAAATTCCTTTTGTAGAGACATTGAGCAAAGTTCTCTACAATTTGACATTAATTCCGAATTTCTTATTCGATTACAGGAGTAATTTCGATTTGTATTTCTATTCCATCACATCGATTACAAATGATTTTGCTCAAATAATCAATATCATATCATTTAATATTTATCAATTTTTTTGTTATAAAACATTATCTAATCTAATATGGCAAATAGAAAAATTTACATTGTATGTATCTTGCTGTTCATTGTAGAAATTCATTTATTCATAGTACTCATCTGATTAATGATATCCTTTGCAAAATATCACATCTAGATACATTTATATTCAATAATTATTACCGATAACGTCATTATCGATGAAAAACTTTTACCAACATCTGATGATATTTGACATTCGATCATTCAAAAAAGATATTATGTTAGATATTATATAGATTAATGTCATATTCACCTACTCTTCTCTTGACTACGTAGAAGAAGGGTGTGGGTGTGGGTGTGGGTGTAGGTGTGAATGTAAGAGGGAGAATGAGGTATCCACATCCACACCCACACCCACACCCACACCCACACCCACACCCACATCCACACCCACATCCACACCCATTCACCCGCACTCACAGTCACGCACCCACAATCACCACACCCACACACCCATCCATGCCCATCCTCGTAGGTCCCCTGCGGTGCGTGTGGCTAAGAAGTAGGTACTCCTGGGATATCTATGGGGAAGTATGGGGTATCCATGCGATAGAAAACTGGAGTTTAAAGCCGTGTTTATACTTCTTTTCTGCTTGCCAGTTATTGTAATCAAAGTTTCGCAATCGGTACGAAACCTTTCGTTATACGGAGAAAAGTTGTTCAGTATAAATTACACATGTCGAACATTTTTTGGAAATTTTGAGTGGAAGGTGTCGTACGAAACTCTTGTTCTACGAAACCAAAAAAGGATCTTACCTTGTATCGAGATTATGAACCCGTTTAGGTTTTGTAAAAATCCGTTTGTTTTAAGAGTACATACCCTTCATAGTCGTCGATTCGGAAATATTATAAACTTTAATTCTCATTATAGGAGGCACATGAAAGAAAATGAAACGGATACATGGGTTTTTTCACAGGGCTGGATTACTGAAGCCGCAGAAAGTGAAAAATAACTTTGTGGAGAGAACAACACAACAAGCAATAAAAGCGATATTGTGTGGTTGTAAATCTGTATTCAACACTGATAGGTTTATGTCTACAGCGGTTATATTTAAACGACATATTTTTCAGTCTGAAATTTCAAGGTGTTTGTCGAAACGGTAACAAGCTTTTGTCATCGACAAGCTTTTTTGATCAAAATAAGAACGTGAGTATTAATTTTTCTTTAAGAAAATTTTGCTTTTCAACAAGACAGTGAATATAAAGGAATATATTGTAGTTCGCTTGTAAAAAACGGGTTACTTCTTATTAAAATAGCCATGAAAAATTCTGTTAGAATTGCGTGTACTGAATACAAAAACGCATTTATGATGAACCTGTTTGATCAGTATTTTAGATACTGCTTTAGACTAGAGAGGTACGACCAAGATAAAAATCAATTGATTAAATGGATTACAAATAAAAATCAATGCATTTCAATGTATTGAAACAAACTGAGACGTTGAAACAGAAAGTATCCTTTTTTACTCTCAAACGTAGTATTCAATCCCTGTTTTTGAAAAAATATTGCTTTATAGATGAAAATATAAATATGGAATTTCATTTAAAGATCATTTTCTAGTCAAAAGCATCCACTGAAGAATATTTAATATAAACTTCTGCTTGCACATATTCCTTTACAAAAATATTTTTAGTTTACTTCCGTATGGATTAGCATATTGCATTTTATTAGGATCGAAACAAACTCATACCAACACCCATACCTTATATTGCTTAATAAGGAACTGAAGAAGAAAAACAGCAATCTTCTACATGTCGTCTCTTTTCCTATTACGACTTTTCACAAAGCATATAGAACAATTTTTCTGTTCTTTACGTAAACCGAAAGTTGCAGAACCGTGAGGAAAGCTAATCACGCGTTTTCAATGGACGAATCGACAAGAAGGTAAAAAGCTACAATGCCCTGGTCGAACATTACGCCAACCGAAACCTACCGTTTACGGCGGTGTGGATGTGGTATTTCAATGTTCTGTGCGTTGAAACCCACACCCTTTTATGGTTAGCACTCATTTTGCTTCGATTCCGGTTTCTGTTTTGTTTAATTCGGTAAAAGAGAAGGTAATTCCTTCGAGGCATCCGAATGTGTATGTTTAAATGTGATTTGTCATAGAAAGGTCCTTATTTTAGCAACTTTATCGGATTGTTTCAACTGTGGAACGTGTTTCGTAAAATTTGAACTCGTGAATAAAATCAAAATGTTTCATTAGTATTATTCATTGATTGAGCATGTATAGTTCTAACAGAAATTGGGCGAATAATTTTTTTCTCATGCAAATCCAGAATAAATGAAGCGTGCTATTTAGAAAATATAAACTAAAATGGTAGGGGTTAGTGAAAATAGCGGTATATAAAACAAGATATGATATACTACATAATGACATATAATTCAGCTCTTTAATCAATTCGACTCAGACATAGTGAGCAAAATATTTCAACTTTTTCAAGTTCAGCAAATAAATTTTGAACCCACCGTAAAATACTAATCATTGTTGTTGTTTTCTATTTAAGAATTTATTTCTACTCGATCGATTTGGAATAATGGCAAGCTCTGATCCAGCTAAATCTATATTCGACGAAATTGATACAAATCAAGATGGAAAGTAAGAATTAAGAATTTAAGTCGAATCATAAATGCATATATACATGTTTAGAATTGATAAAGATGAATTTCGTAAATGGGCTTCAATTCCTGTAGAAGTGCGTTCTTCACCATACGAGCGACCGAATACTGACTTTAATCATAGTCATACGGCTACTAGTCGATTAGATCGATATGAGCATAAAGATATTAATCAGAATGCTTTTGAATCTACAGCTAATCAATATTCTTTATATGGAACTACAACAGTAGCTAAAGATTATATTAGTGATACGGCAATTCTTACTAAAAGCGTAGAAGAAACGGAACTATATCTGGAAAATCATGGTATTGATCTCTGTAAGAATCCAGAAATTATTAGGCGAACAATACCAGAAAGGCCATCAACATATGAACAACGAGTTTTTGTTCGATATCTTCAGCCACCAGCCCTTCCGCCAGCGGGAGTAATGAAATACGTTGTCTGAAATCCAAGCTTATCAGTATTTTTATAATTTTAGCCACTCATTATTAAAGAAGTGCGTGCAGAACAGCCACCGCCTCTTCCACCACTGATCATACGTGAACAGGCACCACCTCTTTCCTCACCACCACCACTCATTTTACGTGAACGACCACCAACACCACCGCCAATTCTTCCAAGTGAAACAAGTTAGAAACATAAGAAATTCAAACTACATAAATTTTGATTGATTGATGTATTTTTTTTACAGTTACTCGTACCTTGCCTCCCTTACCTGCTCCGTCACGATCAGTTGTCATCGAACGTTATCCACCCCTTCCAGAAAAACCACGTACAACGATTATTTTCATTTTCTCTATGTTTGCTTTTAATTTTTAATTGTTATTTTGTTTCTATTTAGGGGATATTATAATTGAACGATGGATTCCGTATGGACGTCAAATTGAACGCCGTACGATTGTTGAAAAGGCTCCTCTTGTTATAGAATATCCTAGAGCATCTTGTACTGTTGTTATTTACGAAGCTCCTCAAGCACGTATAGTCCGAAAATTTGAACAACTTGGTGTTACTAATGAAAGTCCTGAAGATTATGTAGGCCGCTATAGAGGATCCCTTCTAGATTCAGGAACATTGGTTCAACAAGCTCGTAATGTTGGCGTTATTGAAGATATAGTAACTTTTTTTGTCAAAAAAAAAGCCTTCACAAGAAACTATATAAATTTTTTATTGTAGACGCCTCCAATATTATCATTGTCAGTAAGTGCAAAAATACGCCAAGGTAATAGTGACTTTCATCAGTCAAATGAGATAATCAGTGAAGGTTTTTCATATTCAGGTGCAAACAGTAGTGAAAGAATTGAATTAGATCGTGGTAGCAACGCTATAACATATGGTACTAAAACGGAAAAATATTCAGCATCGAACCGTATTGGTGACAGTGTTTTAACTGGCAGTACTAGTGTTACTCGACGTGAATATCAGGCCGATGATGGAAGTATTACCACTACTTATATTAACCGTGATGGAAAATTACATCAAACAGAAGTTCACGAATATATTTAAAACATTGTTTAACTAAAACTCTCTTGTCTTCAATTTAAAAACTTTTCTTCTTGCGTAGTTTTTTCTACAATGGAACATATATCTAGAATAAAAGACCCTAGAATAAAAATACATATGTAAGATAAACATTGTTCAAACACTACTGATACTAGTGTTAGATAAATCTCATCTTCTTGTAAACCATGTTGGTGTTATTTTTAAACGAGCGTTACACATTGTATTAGACAGCAGTCATGAACGCTGCCCTTACCAGATGAAAGCTATTTAAATGTCAACCAGTTGACATCATATTGTCACCATAACCCAGATCAAACATTCCGGCCTCCAGTTCTCTCAGAAGACGGCCCGGATGGGTGTGGGTGTAGGATGTGGGGTGTGGGTATTGTGGGTGTGATTGGTGTTAGTATGGGTCAAGAGAAAAAGAATAACCACATCACATCCACACCCACACCCACACCCACCCACACCCATGCTCACACCCACACCCACACCCACACCCACACCCACACCCATACCCACACCCTTCTCACTGATTCCAAACTCGTCGGGTTTCTTAATAGATGTTTTATGGATATCATGAAACTGGCACTTGAGCCAAGACTTTTCTAGGATGATAAAAGCATTGGTACTTCGAATAGTTAACAAAACCTATGGAATGAACTCATTTAATTCAAGTTGTCAAATGAAAGAACACTTTTCTAAAAGCATATTTCAGATCATCAATACTTACCTTCTGTGTGTTTCTGCGCGAAAGGTAGTGTCGGTAACATTTGCTACTCTGTAGATAAAGGACAATCTGGATTTCCAAAGTACAACCTATTCAATTTTAGAATGTCATTGAATCATTTGAGTGCAAGGAAATAAGAAGAATAAACTTGTTTGCANTATTTCTGCTCTTGACCGAGTTTTGGAGGAGACGATGCCGAATCACAGTAGCAATAGTACTGATGATGACGGCGAAGACGAAGATTATGTTCCAACTCAACCTACTTCTGCTGCGTCCATAACCGTATTATCAACGAAACAAAAAGATACTATACCAAAAACACCACTAGTAATCAAATATCATGAATTGATTTCGTCACAACGAGGTACTGAGAGTAAAAGAATATCATCAAAAATGATCAAAGTCGATTCATCCAATGATGACGGCAATTCTGACCGTTGTACTATTTCTACTATAAAAGCAAATTTTTCTTCCAGAAAATATTGAAGCTAATGTGTTACGTGAAGAATCACCACAATCTCATAAAATGATAAAAGAATCTCAAGCAAAACGCATAAAAAGCTAAATATCATCAAGCAATGTTTCCACGATAAAGTAATAAACGTAACAAAATATCATCGAAAATCATTCGTCTTGATACTTCCGATGAAGATGGTAATTTCGATAATTGCATTATTAGTATATTACAAAAGATTTTTCTTTAATATTATGCCGCAATAGATATATCACCTAGAGAATCAGAGAAATCGTTGAAAGCAATAATAAATACTTTGCAGACTATTTTTAGAGCATCGTCACAACAATCATCAATCAAGCCTCCTAAGCGAACGGTGCTTAAACGAACAAGTGGCCAAATAATAGCTGAAAGAGATGTTATTCAACAAATTGAAGAACAAAGAAAGAAAAAGAAGTATAAACGATCACATCCTACTTGGTGAAAGTTCAATGTTTCTTTTACATTACAGATTTTTCTTATTTTCGTTGATAATTGTTTTAGATATTCTGTGTAATTTAGGTTTTCTCTCATTTGTTTGATTGATTTAGTTTTTGTATTCTTATTCATTATGTAGTCAAATTGTACACTTAAACATTTTTTTATATTGTACATTATATTTTGCGCGGATTTATCGCTTTTTGAAGACGGAAACTTATCACCAACGACAAAATCACTGCTCATCCTATTTTTGATCTAAAATATACAATACATGATCAAAAGAATTTTTCTTAGATATGTATTAATAGCGCAAGTGTAGACGTTTATAATACATATAAAAATTTAATATGGCGATACAAACTGTTCATATACTTTCTAAGTCTTTTTAATTCATGCTTGAATAACATTTAACGATAGACCATTCAAAGCTTCATCGGTCACATTCTCTAGTTCACGTTGTGATTTTGGATTCTCCTTTTTAATTTTCTGTTTCATAATGTTCCAGACCAGTTCGATAGCATTGAAATCAGGACTATAACCTGGTCATTCACATAATTCAATATTATATCGATCGCACCATTGCTTGAATTGAGGACTTCTGTGCCATTTAACTCCATCAGAAATATATAAAAATCCATTTAGTTTTCGTATATTTTCGGATAGAGCTTCATTAACTTTATCACAATAAGTATCACTATTTAACCAGCTATTAAATCGACGAAAAACATATCCATTCCACCAGATAAAAACCAATTAAATTGACATGTGCCCGTAAAGATGAAATTTCCTTTTTCGGTATCGACTCTCCTCGTCTACACCAAACAACCTACTGTGTACTTCTTAAACCCACATAACATTCATCCTCAAAAATATAAGTATCGACGCGAGCACGATAATGTGGGTGTGGGTGTCAGTTTGGTTGGAAGAAGAACAATCACACCCACACCCACACCCACTTCCACACCCACACCCACACCCACACCCACACCCTTTTCTGTTTATAGATAACATAATATGCCTGAACTTCCTAGTGAGAAAAAGCTCCGAGTTATTTTTTGTTCGTATTTAATCTTTATCTTATTAATAGAAGTCGAGTATCCTCAAAGATTATTAGCTCATTTTTTAATTCGAATACATAATACAAAAGTTTCTTATCCTGATGCTGATGGTTTATCAAAACATTTTATAAATTGTACACCAACAACATTTACTGATAGATTAATTAATCGAAAAATGCTTGATATTAAACGACATGAAAAATATTTATGGTTTGAAATGACTGATCGAAAACCTTTAATACCTATATTTCATTTTGGAAGGTCAGGAGGTTTTCGTATAAAATCAGCACCTGATGTTACTTATTTAAAAGAATTGAAACATGTAAAAATGAAAGCAAAAAATGAAATTGTTGGACAATGTGAATCATATGTTTATGGTAATTTGAATTAAATATTTGAATACACAAAGAAAGAATTAATGATTGAACAATAGATTACTAACGTTTCTATTTAGATGATGAACTTGATGCTGATTTAGCATGGTCACCTCGTTCTACACATATTCGATTTTTAACATGAACTGGTCATGATGTATGTTATACAGATCTTCGTAAATTTGGACATTTCAATCTTGTTGAATCGAATTCACCTCTTACATATCTTCCATTATCTAAACTTGGATTTGATCCTTATCTTGCAATTTTTACATTTATTGATTTTATGGACTTAATTCATTGTGATTGATCAGTATCTATTGAAATTAAAGCACTTTTACTTGATCAAACATTTTGTACTGGTATTGGTAATTGGATAGTTGATGAAATACTTTATCAATCACATTTACATCCACGTAAACGATTAAATACATTGATAATGATGAACAATTAAAAATATAATAAGAACAGCTGTTGATGCTGGTGGTAGTCATAAATTTCCACGTGAATAACTTTTTCATTTTCGATGAACAAATAAACGAACAACAGAAGCTTATTATAAATTAACAATTCAACTTGATACTGTTGGTGGACGAGCATCAGCTTATGTATCACAAAGACAAATGGTATCTGATGAAGAACAACGATTAGTCGATGTCAGACTTGCTGTACGAGAAGCTAAACGAGCTATCAAGAAGAAAATAAAAAAAGACGATGAATATGCCGAAAACTCGAATGATGATGAAGAGAATGGTAAGAAAATTCGATACTTGTCAAGTTTATAGTAGAACTAAGTTTGTGAATATTCGAAGAACAGATGTTAGACATATATGGATGCTATCATGAGTAATTGAGAATGGTTTCAACAGATACGTTTCCACTTTAGAGAAATTTTATCAAGTTATTCAGGATAAATGAAAGTTTTTTATAATTTAATTGAGTTTCATTCTCTTTGAGCTCAGTATCGTTAACAATGACGAATATAATATAAAAAATTTCATTCATGATTTCTTTTGCTATTCGAGCAAAGTTAGTTATGTATGAGTCTTTTTAAATGTTCGAGAAACCATTTCTCCAATTATTTTCATATTGAAAATATTGGGCTGTATTTCCTTGTTATATTCAACTAACTTCAATATTCGTTTTGAACACTTCTGTTCATAGACATCTTTCTTTTAGAAAAATCTGTTGTTTCTTCTAACATTAAAGTACCAGCCAGAAAGCGAAACAAACAAAAACCAACTTAAATCTGTAACATTTATTTTTATATCTTTGTTAATAAAATTTGATCTTTTATTTATAGAACTGGAAGAAGAGGAATCATCACCAACACTAAAGAAAAAGTTATCTTCAATTACAGTTGTCGTATCAAATCGACTACAATGGACATGTAAACAGAAACCAATCAATTATCATGTATGATACATTTTTGTACAAATTTCTTATTGTTGTTTATTTTGTTATTGTTTCAACCAAGTAATATATTTTTGCCTATTCTTGATATCGATGAACAATTCTAGATCATAATAAGAGAAAAATAGTTGCTACTTCATCAATAACTTTCATATCGGCTAGCAATGAGCCTATTTTATTAATAAATTCTGGTTATGATCAAACAATACGTTTTTGGCAAGCTAAAACTGCAACGATTTACCGAACGATAATGCATAAAGAGTCAGTAAACAGAGATTATACATGTCTTAGAATTTTTCTTTGGATTTTTTTCTTTAGCCAACTGATTGTTTCGCTATACATCCACAAAAAACTTTATTACCAGCTAGTAGTTATCAACATATAAAAATGTATGATTTGATGTCGAACAATTCAAATCCAGTTATGAAATTGGATTAATTACAAAAGAATATTGTGACATTAGATTTTAGTGATGATAGACATTTTATGTTTTCAAGTAGTGAAGATCATTAATTATCTACGAATTTGACATATGAGATTAGTATATTATAGACTAGATTTTCTTAACAAAGCTTGAGCTTATCTAAATTATAGAGCAGATAAGACTAAAGCTGACCGACAAATTGCTGTTGGTGCTGCTGTCAACTGTGTTATTCTGCATCTAAATCAAGTATATAAATTATATGAATACAATACATTTATATTAATATAGGCAAACCTATTAATTGGTGATCAAGATGGTACTATCTATCGTTGGTATATGACTGGGGATAAACATGAAAAATATGTATGTATTCCATATTAATTTCTCGTTTACCATTTATTTCTTTTATATCTTAGAAAGTCGATGCAAACAATCTGAGTGCAATTCGATCGATTTCAATTAATTGTGATGCTTCAATGATGGCTACTGTTACTAGTAATGTAAGTATGAAATTTTCTCTTTAAATTCTTTGCCCACATTTATCATTGATTATCATTTCATATACAAGGAGATTGTCATATTTGGTCAATGACTAGATTCGTTGCACAAACTCATCTTATATGGCGCACAAATTTTATTGCACACAAATGTTAGGACATTAAAATGTCCTTTTTTTTCACCTAATATGACGTATGTTTCTCTTCTTTTAGTATAAGGTTTTTTTTTTAATACATTACTTTATTTTTCTTAGTTTAATGTTCACTCCATCAGTCGATGGTACAGCTAAAATGTGACGTACATCTGATTTTGCTTCTTAATATGAATTGAAACATGATCATTTATTAAACTGGGTATGGGATTGTGCATTTATATCGGATTTATTGTTTCTCGTAAGAAGCTTGCGTTATTGTTTTTTTGTTTTTATTTTTTTTCTATTACTTTTGTCTCTTTAATTTAGTATGCTCTTATGACAAAGCTTGTTTATGATCAACAGAGATGAGTGAAATTTTTAAAGAATACATTGATCATCAGAAACCAGCTGCTTGTTTGTCAATTAACGATCGGACATTTTGATAAATTAACAGTAATGCTTGTATTGTACATAAATATATTACACTATTTTGTGTTATTAAACATGCTTGATTTCATTATCTTTTGATTTTGAGGAATACATTATCTAAAATATCCAAAATAATTCAAAGATTTGTCAAGGATCTTTCAATCTAAAAGAATAGAGAACTTTGTCATTCAATTTTTTTTATTTTAACTATTTAATGTTGCGTAAAAAGAAAAATATTAACAAATAAAGAAAAAGAACAATATTAACGAATAAAAAAACAAGAAAAAAGTCCTATCAGATTTAAATATCGTCTTCTTCATCGTTCGATATGCTATCGTCCATGTCAACCTCATCAGAAGATTCATCTTGAGAAATAGGCTTCATTTTTTCCACAATACCCATTAATACCGCCATTTTTGTCACCAGTAGTCGATGGTGGTTGGATATTGGATTAGGACAGAAAGACCAAGACTCATTTAAAATCGATCGTTGATCAGAAACCAACACCTCGCCTGATCTTGCATCCAGAATGACCATGTGCAGTAAGTCTGAATCGCAGCAATTAATCTCTCTTATTTGATAAATCATCAAACATCCAGAATTATCAGGATCATCGATGGTAACTACAATTGACACATGATATGCAACTTGTTCTATATCACCTATAAATAATGTTTCTGGATTTAATTGTAGATGAGTAAGAACAATTGCATCAAGAAAATTTCGAAGTTGATTATCTGTAGCACGACTTGTAATGGCATGGATTGTCGCTCGTTTATGGCATAAAGTATTGATGATCAATTCAAGAGCTTCATATGAAGACCCGACAACACCACCCAACAATAGAACAGACCGGATGATGGCAGTTGAACCGGCTCGTTGGAAAATATGACGAACTATAAGTTCCAGTCGTCGTTGTGTATCATTGATAGTCGGCATATCCCTGAACAAATCATCAGCACTAATATGCTCAATAAAAATCATCGTAGAATTGACAAATGTCACAATAACTACTATACATGTAGCCACACCTCGAGTTGCTAAATAACCATAAGATGTAGCACTGTGCTTTTGAAGAACGTTTGGGATTATGCTCATTCTAAATAAATAATAGTCAAACAAATTTTTTAAGAGATCATTAAAAGTTTATCATATACACTACCACCATTACCATTTTATTATTAAACTCATATTCATAATCACCGGTTTTTTGAATCACATTACTCCAAATATGTTTTATTTTGACACAGACAGCAGTACATACGATTATATAAACATCGAATTTATAATGTCTGAAATTTTACCAATATATGTATAATTTCAATTTTTGTTTAGATTTTTGATTTTTATTAAATAGAAAAACATTTTCATATGTAAGAATGTCATCCTTAAAATATTTTTACCCCAGCGATCGTTTTTTTTTGCATTAGATTACACCAAATCTTAACGATAGAATGATATTAAAAGAATTATAGACTATAAATAATAGAACTTATTTTAGAAAAATATTTTATTTAAATTTTTCATCAAAGGGCATCTTTATTAATAGAAATACAGACAATGAAAATTATAGCAAGGAAAGCCAATATTGCAACTTTACCAACATTTCAGTATTCTTTCGAAATGTTTTAAGATCATCCCATACTAATAATGGGCCAAAAAAAAATAACTATTGATAGAAATGGTTTCTTTTCTTGAACGAAGATTATTCAGACACACAATAAGATTGATTTTAACAATTTATTCTTCGAGTACTTTATAAAAAGTTAATAGTGGTGACGAAGTGGTTAAACAGATGAACTTACTCGAAGAAAAAAAATATTGTTGTATTTGATGATATACTGATAATGATAAAAAGAGAAAACGTGAAAGAAAACGAATTAAACTAATGCATATGTATATATAGAACATACATGTCTAGCGTGTTTCGTTCTGTATATTGAATGACTATTGTCGATACTGCCTATCTATTGTTGTAAAGAATGATTCAAAAGAATTACTTTACTGAAAAGTTGACGAGATTCCAACATCATCATATTCATTTAACAAAATGAGCAAAATCTGTGATTTATAGAAATTATTTAATTATTTTAGTATCGCTTCCATTCTACTAAGCTCAATCTTTCCTCGAACTGGACTAAAAAAAATGTTCCAATCTAATGCTGATACTTGTCAGTAAGAGAGTCCTGTACGGAGTCGATTTCAGAGTCGTCGTCAGAGTCAACTAAAGTTTTTGCTAAAAATTTAGCTTTAATATAGGAACTTTTTTGAATTTTAGGTTTTGTTCTCGGATATTTTACTGTATAAACTGATGCATTTTTGAGGTTTCAACGACGTCTTATCAAGATCTATGAACATGAAAGAAAATCGGATTCGAACAAAATTTGACTCCGACTTTCTTTCATGTCCATAGATCTTTATAAGACGTCGTTCAAAACCTCGAAAATGCATCAGTTTATACAGTAAATATCAGAGAACAAAACCTAAAATGCAAAAAAATTTCTATGCTAAAGCTAAATTTTTAGTAAAAAATTTAGTTGACTCGGACGACGACTCCGAAATCGACTTCGTGCAGGACTCTAATCAGTACGTATGATACATCTTTGCGATAAACAGACCAATTCATCTGATCAAAAAGGTCCGTATGCGCTTACATATGTGTTGGAGTAAACTCTATTTTATCATCTAAAACTTACATTGAATTTGTTTTCTTCTATAATAAAAACCTTTTTCAGTAGTATATTTTTTTTTAGATATGCTGTATCTTATGTTGATTGAAAACAGAATCAAAACAATTTCATTCAATTTGACTTATGACAAATTTTTCTATGAAAAAAAAAGTAAAACAGTTGCTCCAATATATATTCTATCTTTCTTGTTTGTAATTAAAAAGATCAGCAATCCATGAATATCTTCAGATGACAAAAAGCAACAAAAAATATGGACCGTTTCATTTTTCTTTGAATAGATAGAGATGCTTGTATTAGTTCGAAAAAAAAGTATCCTGCAGACATTTACCAGGTATCTCTTAATTACATAACCACATGCTATTTCAATATTTATCTTACGAATACTTTAGAAGAAATGTCATACCAAGAAGTGACTAAAAGACAAGAGCTATCTTTATACTGATGATATTCAGATTGTATTTACAAAGTCTTCAATCTTTGTAAGTACATACGTCTGATGAAGAAACGAAGTGAAGTTGAATTATATCTTTCTACTTATTTTAACAATTATCAGTATTAAGTAGTCAACTATACCTATGTAACTAGAAGGCAGTTTTTAGTGAAAATGATGAAGTATTAAGATAAAAATTTTTCACAAAAATACTAGTGAATTAGCACAAATTATCGTGTTTATTTTATATTCATATTACGCTTCTTATTAATACAATAAACATTACAAGTTTAGAGTGAGAGAATTTTTTATTCAATTTACAGCCAAATAGTCAGCTGACCAACACCATAGTGTTCCCAAGTATACAATGAAAAAGTTGAGCTGTCACGTGTAAGAGAAAGTCGTTTGCGAATTTCAGTTAATACAAGATGTTTTCGTGGAGATGGAGATACACGAACAAATGTACACGATACGTGAAGCATATTAAAAAAATGATTGACAGAAGTAAAAGAATCAATCAGATTCTGTAACATATTGACCAGTGGCTTGTCCATTAGATAAAAACCTCCATACAATGACAAATGACGTAGACGCGGAAATAGTAGAGTCAGCATTGAACCATCTACTGGTTCATAATTGGGTCGTGGTTGTCCAACACTGGGTTGTGACCGTCCAAAGTGCAAAAATAAACTTCCAAGACGATACGATGGTGCCGAAGAAGAGCAACAACGACCTAATTCACGTACTACGCTCCATGGAACGCTCAGACATTGAAGAAGAACTGCGTTTGTCAGCAAATTTCGTAGTAAACTTGCATAAATTACTGCTTGTGTATCATCAATACCAATTACTTGAAGATGTATAGAACGAAGATGAAGAGGAGGAGAATAAGAATTGCGCTGCATGAAATCCTATCATAGGAGAAGGAAAACAAAAAAAATTATTTTATTAAATAAATTAATTTTTTACCGATGCTGAAAATCCAATTGGTGACATGTACCAATGCCACTTTAAGTGATATACACGAGAGAGAATTCGAAAACTATGTTCAACAGTGTCCGATGAATGTAAATTGATGTTGTCAATATTACTATTTCTGCACAACCATACCATATGTTGTACATTTGTTTGTCGATCATGATCGATAGTACGTGCAACAAATTGATGATTTATCAAGATACGATCATTTTGTAAATCGCATGGATAGGTATAGACGATTAACATTGCAGAAGGCAAATGTTCTTCAATGATATGACGTACGTACCATCCTCTTGCAAGCCAATCACTAGTGTTAAAAACTACATCACCGAATTCGGTCGCTTCGTATTCATAACGTAATATAACAGGCAGACACAAAGAGAAACGGAAATAATTGAGTGAGAGCCAGAGAGAACTTGAATGTATAGCTTGTCGAAATTCGATGAGTTGATTCAATACTAAAATCATATTTTATTTTCACATAGTAGATTAAATACTAGAAGTAAAGAACATTTTATTACTGCTTTACTTACATGAAGTCTGCACGTGAATTAATGTCAATGATTTGAGATTGGGCATTTTCAAATAGCGAATAATCAACAAGATATTGCTCATCGAAAAATCACTATCACCACTACCACGCAATGTAAGTGTATGTAAGTGCATCACATTCATTGTTACTAAATAGGACTCGGTCAATATGTTCTTGGGTTCATAAAAATGTTCTAAATTACAAACAGTTGAATCATTACGTTCAAACGTCACAGTTAAATGTTCTAGGCAAGGCGTTGCACTTGGTTGTAGTAGGAGTAACAGTTCTGTGAAGCGTTTAAGAGACAAGGTTAAATAGACAGTGCGTGAAAAGCAAGGCTGTCGTCCAGAAACACCGATTAAAACGTGCAAGCTTCCTCGATCTGTCTCGTACCACGTTTTCATTCCTATAGATATAAAAAATCCGAGTAAATTACATATCAATTATGCTTTTTTACTGTATCTGTAAAGAAGTAAACTAAATACTTATTGGTTCTGATATTGTATCATGAAAAAATCTATAATATCAAGAAAGCTGCTATTGTCGTCATTAAAAGTTGTATTTGTAAACAATCATAGATAATTTGTAAAATCAACATATAAAATGTAAGTAAAATATTTTTAGTTTATGAAAGCATGAAGTTAAGCACAAGAGGAAAGTGACAAACATATCAAAATCATTAATATCAAAAGTCAACAAAATTAAAAAATATCATTCTAACTACTATTTTTTTCTCTTTATAAATTATTCAGACATATTTTGAGATGTGATTTAAAAATTGAATTGAATGATTAATCTCAATAACAAAAGAAATCTATAGTTTTTTTTATTATCGTACATACCATCAGTTACATGAAAGATCATTGTATGACAAGAAACTTGTAAGAAGATGAGTTCGTGAAGAACTGTAACATACCATAGGTCGGCATTGGCAGAAATCAATGTAAATTTGTCGAGTTGTCCGATGATATTAGTATCAGTACCACAAGCAAGAATAATGGCAAGTGATTCTAAGGTATTTTTTTCAAAAAACTCCATATTAGAGAGAGTGAGTTCCCGTACAGAAGGCAAGAATGGAGGTGTGCTATTAGCCCATCGAGAGAGAATATCATAAGCGCAGACTATATTGCAAAAACCATCCAGTATTAATGAACGAATAAAAATACTCAAACAACGTGTACGAAAACCATTGTGATCATCTAGAAAAGCTCGATAAAGAGAATATGAACAATGACCATTATGGAAAGCCAGTGTACGACGATCGTTTCTATTTTCAGCAAACAAATTATCCAGATAATTGCACACACCAATTAGTGAGTATCCAATGTCGAAAAGTGTCAAATAAGTTGAAATTTTAAATAACAGTTCATGTGGCAGTTCATCCAATTTCATGTTTTATTGATTTATTGTATATACATTTATTCGATACTTTTATATATACTGTATCGTCCGTCCGCTTCGACTAGAGTTCATATCGCTATTATATTGTATTGATTCATCGTTTTTATTTTTCTTATACAATGATGGAGAGTGATCAATCTCGCAATATCAATATATACCCAAAACAAAACAAAAAAACAAACAAACGGACGGTCGATCTATATATTAGACAATAATCAGACAATAAGTGGTGAACATTATTAAAGTTTTTTTTTTTCATATAGTCTTTCACAAAAAATTCATATAAAACAAGATCAAAATTAAATATATTATTTTATAAATAACAATGACAAATCGAATTATTTAGTATTTTCTATGATTTCTCTAATTCTTATTTTCATAAAATTATTGATGAAGATGAAGTGATAGATATGATTTTGCTTTCATCTATTCTGTGTCATTGTAGAATGTGCAAATAAAAAAAACTCATATGTGAAACAAAAACTTGATCATGCAATACAAAATTGTTTCTTCATAGTCGTGAAGAATTTATTTCATTTTCGATCTAATTTTTGCAACGAAACAATATCGACAAGTAGCGACATCTAATACAAATAATATTACATAAGTATCTTGTGCGCACTGCCATAGTCTCTGTTATGTCAACCTCTTATTGTGCTGCTAACTTGTTTGTCTGTTTTGTTAGCAACTGCATCTATGCACCGACTAATTATCCGCCCGTCTTTGCTTTTTCTCTCACTCATTTATTGTGTTACTATTGTTAACAAATGAATTGTCTCGATTACCTTTCTTTGATTTTAGATCTCATCGGTATTCCTTTAACTAGTGTTCCACCGTGTGATGTTAGCACCACACGGTGGAACACTTTTTATGAGGGGGAACACCAGCTTTAATGTTACCCATCTTTTTTTTAATAATACAATCTATTAAGAAAGTAAATTAAGTTTTATAGAACCATAAATAAAGAGGACAATTCAAAATCAACAGCAACAAATTTAAATATTTTCAATGAGCAATAGAAATAAAAAATCGGGTAGAAAATTTTAAAAATATAACCATTCTTTGCGGGCGTTAAAAGCCCGCTTTTAAACACTTTGAAAAGAAAAGCAAGTGTTTTCTATAGATGTAACAAAAAATTATTAGTGATTATCAATAAAATGAATTATCAGCATATCACAAATACTCGAAACTCTTTCCTAAAATACTTATGAGCGTCAAAATACAAACAGAGTTCAGCTATTGAGATCATTCAAATAGTTCAAATGTATTCTGCGATTCCTGCATTATGAATTTTTTGCAAAAATTGAATCATTTCCTTCTGATCTTTTCTTTTCTGTGTCGACAATCTATATAATAAAAATGAGAATCTAATTTAAAATAACTATTTGTTTTCTTTTTGAATTCATAGTTTTAATAATAGCAATTAAGAAAACTCCATACGCTTAGTAAATGATAATCGTTAACATAAAAGCGATTACTTGTAATCACTCACTATCGTCAGTTGGGGTACAAATGCAATACTGATTCACGATTAATCTGAAAAAGCACCATTGGAAAAAGTTATGCATCATCAAATAGAAAAAGTGTGTGCGACTGTTTTTAAATAAAAAGACAAATTCTTTAATACCTGTTGTATTTGAATTTTCTTTCAAAAACAAAATTAAGCAAACTAACATAAGCCAAATATTTCTTTTTTTTCACGTGTTGGATTATTGACTTATTTTGCAATGAATTTTCTAATGGGAATATCTTTTAAATTTACAGTTCTTTTTTCAAGAATAACGTAATTTAAATCTTCCGTTATACCAAAACTTCAAAAATTAGTTTTGTAAAATTTTATCTATTATAACTCGTAAACATTTAGTATTTGTGAAACTTCCATTATGCGAACATTAAGATACCCGAAAGATATATGTTGATTTGAAATTATTGATGAACAATCTTTTTATTATTATAAAATTAGCTAGTATTAGCTCTAATACTACTCGATTAGACGTAGTAATATTAGGAATTACGGGACCTATATTTCTGTTTTAAAAATAATATAATTTCACTGGAATAATGAAAGATTCATTGTATTACCAATAAAATGCTTTTTATTCCTTATTTTAACAAATATTTTATATCAGTCAAACGAATAAATGGTTTTGTGATACCACATATATGCGAATTCTTGACAATTGCTAAATGGCCCTACTATTCTCTTCTACAAGAAATAAGCAGTTATAAGTAAAACGTTATAATAAAAATAACTGGACATATATTGAGTTGCGTTTCTTAAAAGAACAGAAGATAACTACTACCAAACTTAACTCAAACTAAATTTAAGCTTAGAATTAATTAAATTACATGTCTCTTTAAAAAAAATGCATGTCTACAGACACTATATATCTATTTTTGCAAGATTTACCGTTGGGAAGGAGTAAACTTGTACTCTCTGCCATAAAATCCAATAAAATAAAATAATTTCTTTTGATTTGTCATATATAACAAAATATTTTTCGCTTTGTGCTAGTGAATATTTCCTATAAATAAGTGGTCTTCAGCATAGGCTACGGTGTTCACTATAAATAACATTGACATGTCATCTGTATTGTGTAAATTCAAAACGTACCGTCAAAATTTCTATTAGGATATTTTCTTTTTAAATGTTCATACAATAATTTATGTTCAGGTAATAACAACATTTGTTTACCATCGACAGTTAATACTTGTTTATCTTTTATATGACTATTACATAACATTGACATATAGATTGTTAAGTTTAATTTCACTTCCTCGAATAATTGATTTATTAGATTATGTTTTATTGGATCATTTAAGACATGTTTAGATGGAAAAGCTTTTATATGAACAATTGCATGCGATCTTGTATTTATGTATTCTAAATAATTATAGAAGACAATGCAAATTATTTTTAAAAATATAAGCATTAATAACTTTTAAAATTCAGAAAAAAACGTATCTATCGTGTACGTTCTCATATACTTACGTCCTTGTCGTATTAATTCATAATTTACCAATTCATCAATTACTGTATTAACCATATCAGTTGAGAAATGTCGAAGTAATCCCATGGATCCTGTTAAGTCTCGTTTTACAAAAAAAAAGTTGTGGATATTGGAAAATACGTTGCGTATGTTTTTCATTATTGAATGAACTAAAAATTTCTCACACTAAATAAAAAGCACATTTAGATTCTACTTACTTGAACTTGAATCAATTTTGTTTTTGTTTACGTTCGGAACGATTGGTTCAATATCATATAATGCTAACAACATTTTCAATAAGTGGCTGCAAACAAGACGTCCAGCAAGATTACAACTGGATGATTGCATTTCTAGTACACCGTTCGACGATGGATATTTATTTTCGATAAAACGAGTCACATTCCGAATGAATGTTAAACTTGTATCTTTATATTTGAGTTGATTTTGACTTCGAAGCAATCTATATGTATAAAATATGATAAACAATTTCATACTTTTTTCCAAAATATATTACTTACTCCAATACTTCAATAGAAATTCTTATAATTTCACAAATAGCAGCTAGTTTGCACAATATTTCTGCTGCTTTACCCATTCTCGATCCATAATTAAGATCATTTGGTTTATCGATTTGTGACAATTCCTGGTATTGACAGACTTTATTGAAAAATTTTTTTGTGCCATTTCGACATAAAATATATTCTCGTTTTCCTATTAATCGTGCTACTATCAATATTTGAGATAAACTTGGAAGATGTTCATAGATTTTATTTGATGTTTCATCTTCATAATCACTATCACTAATATCATTTTCACTACCATTATTCTCATCGTCGCTGTCACTATAATTGGTTGATTGAGTAATGTTATTACACATATCTATTCTTTTCGGCATGGCATAATGAATGAATCTATTATATGAATTATGAAAACATAATACTTGTTCATCAAATAAATTCATTCATTGCAGGTGTCAATAGTACAAAAGTTTATTATTTTCAGATATTAAATGTGATCTGTTATTTTCAGGCATAGATATTAAATTGTAATAATCGTAAGATATTTAAAAAAATTAAAATTATAAAGAATTTATTGTACAACACTTTATAAAATTATAAATTTTATTAAATTTAAATTAATATCATACTGGCGCATTACATTATCGCCAGAAAATACGAGATTTTTCTGATAAACTCTATCTTTTGATGTACATACATCTCTAAGAACAAAATTTCTATAAGCATAGTGTTAATTTATAGATGTAATCGCCCGAAGATAACAAAATCCTAATTTTTTTAAGCAAAGAAAATATTAGTAAGCAAGGTAATCACTGATTATTTTACATTTCGTTCATTCCAAATTCCACGAATACCGAAAAGCTCCTTATATACACGGCGCACAAAAAGCTACATCACTTTTTACCTTTATTCATAAAAATTTACTTTTCTCTGTCACTCAATTTATTTCCATTTCCAAAAATGTTTTTTGTTGATTTATCTCGCAACCAAAAGCTTTTGGAACCACTCAATATTATACTGTACTTTCATTAAAACTAGAATGCTCATTTTTTTTATCTTCTAAAGTACATTTTTATTTAAAAATGCTTAATCAACATATCATTTCTTTTTCTTTTAGACATCCCATAATAATCGACGATGAAATTTTAAAAATCAACTCAATCGAAAAAAGTAAATTAGAAGATAAGTTATTAATTTATAAGATACACTAGTTTTGCTCATATTTGTTAGTTTATTAAAAT